CCATCCATCCTCCACCCACCCATCCATTCACCCATCCATCCCTCCTCCACCCATCCACCCATTCACCCATCCATCCTCTATCCATCCGTCTACCCATCATCCATCCATCCACCCATCCATCCTCCACCCAGCCCATCCAATAAATCTTTATTGAGTAACTACTATGTTCTAGGCACCATGCTAGTTGCAGGGAGAAAACAGTGGAGAGCTAAGCCAATGATAGCCCTGGATCCGAGCTTATATTCTAATGTGAGAGACAAATGTTAATTGAATAAATCCACAATTTAGTCTACAATTACAAACCATGGTGAGTGTTAAGAAGGAAAAGTACAGGAGGAGCACCTAACAGAGGACCTGACTCAGTCTGAGAGGTCAGGGAGATCTTCCTGGAGGAAGTGGTATTATTGCTGAGTCCTGAATGATGAGTTCAAGGAGAGGGGACAGCTGATGCAAAGGCCTTGAGGTTGGAAGAAGCATCATATACTCAAGGAACTAAAGCAGTGCTTTGTGACTGGACAGATGAAGGTAACAGCTAGAGGGAGTCAAGGTCAAACTGGGGGCAGGGTGGGGCAGGAGTCATCATGGAAAGTCTTAGAGGCCAGAGTAAGGAATTGGGGTTATTTCCTTAAAAGCAGTGGGAGGCCATTGATTGGTGGATTTTCAGCAAAGAAGAGACCAAGTGACATGTCACCCATTCACACCCTCTGGATGTCAGCATTATCCCAGCCCCTGAGGCTAGAGCAATGAACAAGACAGACACGGTCCCTGCCCTTGCTGAGTCTCCATTCTAGGCAAGGGCGCTTCTAATCTAAAACACAAGAGTGGATGTGGAAGATGAGTTGGGAAGATATTGTGTGTTTTAGATGGGAGAGGATAGTGGTAGTAGAGGCACAGAGAAGTAGACAGATTTGAAAAATGAGTGGCTGGCTCTGGCTCAGCTTCAAATTCCCAAGCAAGAACAGAGGGGTGGAGAGGAGATGTTTGCTTCTCAGGGTTGCTGTCTTTGGTCATGGAGCCATATGTTCTGAGAGCTCGGGTCCCTGCCTCTCCTCCACCCGATGAAAGGGAATCCCTGGGCATCATCTCTGAACCTCCTGAGCTACCCTCCCGGGCGGCAGCTGCCTTCAACTGGGGAAGCCGCTGGTCACCCAGGGCCCTAACCCCACCCTCCCAGGCAGGATCTACGTCCAGCATCTGCGCCCAGCACTGGATCCATCCATCTGGACTGACATACATCAGTGTCAATCCCTGGCTGCAAAAGCAATATTTATAAATCACGTTTCCAAACTGGCTACAAATGTGTACAAAGAAACAGATGGGTTGGGGTGGCTGTTTGTCACCCAGGATATTTATACGGTGAGGAGGAGGAGGCTTGGCAGGCCGTGGGAAGGGGCTAGGGGGCTGGTGGAGGAGCCCTTCCACGGCCGTGCTGAGCTCAGCACACGGCTGCCGCCCTCGCTCCTGGAGCTCCTTCCAGGCAGTCACGAGTGATGGGAGCACCTGGCAGCTCCCCGTCAAACAGAGGCAGTTGGGACAGAACTCCAGGCCCCTCGGGTTGGAAAGACTTGTGAACTTGGCGAGGTCAAGCCAAGGCTATTTGTATCTCCTGGGGCCAAGTCAGGATACTGCTGGAAAAATGCGTGGGCAAGGCACTACCAGTAGTTAAAATATTGAAATGCTTCCAAAAAGGTTTAAATAGCTCTGACTCTGTGTGCCCCAAGTCCCTCTCTGCTGCCTCCACCTTCTCCCCGTACCCACCCCCAACTCTGACACAATCAAGCCACTAAGGGGGTAAAGCCTGGCACAGCAGGGGCTTCAGGGTCCTGCTCCACGTTATTTATAGTCAGTGTCCCTTTCAATTGGTTATCTGAACTGCACTGGTTGTGAAATATTTTTAATAGGACTCTTGGAAATACAGAGGGTCTGGCTTCAGAGGCCCTGAGGTCCCTCCTTTTGGAGGGAAGGGTTGTAAGGGTCTTGGGGGTGATCCCAGACCTGTTCCAGGGTCAGAAAGAACCAACATAACCTGATCTCCTAGTCCTGGCATCCACTCATTCCAACCATGCAGGCCTCCTGTTCCTTGAACATCCTGGGCCTGTGCCCACTGCAGGGCCTTTGCACATGCTGTTCCCACCACCTGGATCATTCTCGGTCCAGTTATCAGCATGACTCACTCTCTAATTTCCTTTAGATTCATATTCACTATCCCTTCAGAGAGGGTTTCCAAGGCTCCCTTATTTAAAATAGCTCCTACACTTACTCTGCTTTGTTTTCCTCTGTTTTGTTTGACACAGTTCATGGTACACCCACCATGTATCAGGCACTGCTCTAGGCACTCGGGGCCCAGTGCTGAACAAAACCAGGTCTAGACTCTTGTTGAGACTGCCTTATCTACCTACTCTCCAGCCACTTAGCAACCTCAACATATGATTCATTTATTTAATTTATACCTCCCCTCACCAGAACGTCGCTTCCACGAGGGCAGGGATTTTGTCTTGTTTGCCACTGCATTTCAGGACCTAGAACAATGCCTCAGGCACTGTGTTTCAGTAAATAATTGCTGAATGCAGGAAATGACGTGTTCCATGCACAAACAATATACCTAGGTAGCCCTCCTCTTGCTGGGGCCACCTCGCCAGCTCAGGGAGCAGGCCCTTTTAACCCATTTTATAGATGACAAAACGGAGGCTTAGGAGGCGCCGACCTTGCCGGGGTTGCACAGAGAGCCCCCCAGCTGAGTCTGGCCTGGGACCCAGGGCCCTGACTCCCAGTCCGCTGACCACCCTCACACACACACACACACACACACACACACACGCCAGTTCAGGCCTCAAAGGCCCAGACTTGGGCTTCTGGAGGAACTTGCTAGGGCACATCTCCCTGTGGCATCAGCTCAGGCTGGCCATGGCAGTCACCTTCAAGGTGGTAAGCGAGGGAAAGCAGGAGGCATGCTGGATCGGAGACACAGGTGGACTGGAACCCCAGCCTGCTACCCTGTATGGCCCTGGGTGGGTCCCTTTCCCCCTAGAGTCTCCTTTTCATTGCGGGTAAAATAGGGGAGGGTAAGAAAACCACCTCCAAGTGCGGCCGTGAGGACGCAAAGAGAAACATGAGTGGGATACAGCACTTTTTAAACTGCTGGGTGGGAGTGCGTGCACGTGACTTATTTCGATCTTCAGTTAGACCGGGGGCTCTTTCCACCCAGGACTCTGGCCCGCCCACTCCTCATCTGTTCCCTTTCTGTATCCTTCCATTCTCTTCTCTTGGGATGCCCCCTCTCCACTTCGCCAGCCGCCCCCAGCTTGTTCTCCGGGGTTTGGCCAGTGGGCTGGGGAACAGCTCTAGCTTGACCCAGATTTTCTGTGTGATCTTGGACGCAACACTGGCCCTCCAGGTGCCTCAGTTTCTCCACCGGTACTACGGGAAGGGGAGAGGAGGCTAGGCCCCTCCCTCCGCATCCAAGGATTTGGCAGTTCAGAGGTAACTCACCTTGGATGTCAAGCAGGGAGAAGTGAGGGTTGCTGGGAGCTTCGGGCACCAGGCGGAAATAGAAGCGGTGCCCACCCTGAGGCTCGTCTCTGTCCACCACGCTGATGGTCTGGATAAGCTGAAGGGGGAGGATGGGGCAAGGAGCTGATGGGAGGCCAAGCCCACTCTGGACCTGGGGAGAGGGTGTCCCGGCCAGTCCCAAGAACCTCCACTGCCCAGCCCCTCCAGGTACCTGTCCTGGCTTGGCGTCCTCACACACGGCTGCCTCATAGGGAGTGGCCAGCTCTGGGGGATTGTCGTTCACATCCAGGATTCGGATCCTTAGGGATGCCCGGGAGAGCTGGGCATGATTGTCTGCAGTGAGAGCACAGGAACGGGATGAGAGGTATCGAGTGTGAGATCTAGATAACCCCCCATCGGCCATGAGGGCAAGGCGAGGCAGTGGGGTCACACTGAGAGATCTGTGGGTTGATCCAGCAGGTAATAGGATCAGGACTGAGGACATCTGGCATGAATGTGTCACCATCGCCACCATTAGGTCATCACCGTCATCCTCAGTGCTAGGGTCACCATCATTGACACCATTGCTGGCATCACCACCACCACCATCCCAGTGCCACCAAGCATCATCGCCGAAACCATCCCCATCACTGCCACCAGTCCTGTCACCGCTGCCCTCGTTAGCATTATCCTGGTACCAACACAACCACCAGTACCACCATCAACCTCCCCACTCCCGCCGTCACCAGCCTGCTGGCTTCACCATTAGACCATCACCATCGTGACCATCACCATCAGAATAATGGTGTCCCCACTGCCCTAGCCAAGGCACCACCCTCCTCATCTCTATTATCACAAACACCAAGGCCATCACTATCAGTGCCTTACACCACCACCACCACCAATATCACCACCATCATCGCCCACGGTGGTAGTCACTGTCTCCACCACAACCACCATTACCAGCCCCTCCCTTACGACCATTACCCCCACCATAAACACCCACGTCACCATCACATCGTGACCCCTCGCTCCCACCTCCGGCAACATGATCATCACCCCTGCTGTCAATCAACATCCCATCCTCAACATCCCATCACCATCAAGGGCACAGAACACACCCGGAGCACATACATCCATTATTTCAGGAATCCCGTGGATATCCTGCACTTGGGTTCAATTTCTACCCCCACATTGCAGAAGAGAAACAGAGCATGAGAAACTTTAAAGAATGGTCAGCAGGCAACTGAACTCTCAGAACTCTGCTCTTTTAGGACTTGATCCTGAGAGGGCAAGACCAGTCCACTGGATGTAGGTCTTGGCCAGGGTCTTCAGCAAAACCATGACACCCCTGTCTGTGATGTCTTTGAGGTCAAAATCCCTGACGTATTAATCCCCGGGTTCCCAGCATTGTGGGATACAGCATAGAGGAGGTTCTAATACATTCGTTGAATGCGTGAATGAAGACTGGAAGAACATAGACGGAAAGAGGCCTACGTTCCAGGGATGGCTCTGTCCTTGACCCAGTGTTTGGTCCTCCCTCCCCGATATCCCCTTCCACATTTGGAAAATGAGCAGAGCATAGTGATTAGGAGTAAAGTCTCCGAGCCAAGTTGTTCCGATCTCAACTCTGCCACTTAGGAGCAATGGGGTCTATGCCAGGTCACTTGGCCTCTCTGTGCCTCTGCTTTCTCTCCAGCAACATGGAGCTACTAGTGATGGGTTGGTTAAGAGGACAGATTGAGTTACTATCTGTAAAGCAGTTTTAAACTGTGTGTATGTCTATTATAGTTTTAAAAATTCTCTAAAAAAACTGTGTATATAACACATAGCAAGTGTTCTATAAGGATTTGTTAAATAAATAGACATCCTTGGGGCCTGGGTGGCTCAGTCGTTAAGCATCTGCCTTTGGCTCAGGTCATGATCTCAGGGTCCTGGGAGGAGTTCTGCATCAGGCTCCCTGCTCAGTGGGAAGCCTGCTTCTCCCTCTCTCTCTCCCTCTCTCTGCTTGTGTTCCCTCTCTCACTGTGCCTCTCTCTGTCAAATAAATAAATAAAATCTTAAAAAAAAAAAAAAACCAACCCCCAAAACAGACATCCTTGAAGGGTCCTTTCATCAATGACATCAAGTGATTGAAGGGTACCTCATCCCAGCCGGACCTCTCTGAGCGGCACCCTGAATGTCTGCCTTTTCCCTTGTCTCCCGGACCTCTTGGGTGCTCATTGGTGCCTTGCTGTCAGCTATCTTAGTCATGAGCTTGTTGCTGACAAGCTCTATCCACCAGTGACTTCAAGGACTAGGAGAGGAAGCCATCCCCTTCCAAGCACAGTGGCTGGGGGAAGTAGCCTGGCTGGCAGGGAGCTCTTTTGGTGGCAGCCTGGAAGCTTTCTAGTAGCCAGGAACCCCATGAGTTCTGGGGGTGGGGGGTGGGTGGGGCTGGTCGGCTGCCGCTTTCTCTGAACTCAGGGTCCACTGCCGGCCGACTGCAGCTGCTCGTGTGTTGATAAAGAGAAATGAGATCGGGAGGTAGGTGCAGCCCCCTCCTGGGGTCAGGGAAAGGAGGGGGGCGAGTCCTTAATTAAGGCAGACCCCGACCTCTCTCTGGAGCTCCCCTTAGCCAGGGACACCTTATCTTTTCAGCTCACCCAGATCTGCCGCTTCAGTGATTAGAGGGGGCTTTTCTGGGGGCGGGAGATCGGAGTCGTGACTGGGAATGCCGGGCAAGCCGTTATTTTTAAGAGCGTGTTGCTGGAGAACTTAAACAGACAGAAGGTGGGTGCATTTGGGAAGAAGGCAAGTGGGGAGGGTGAGGCCCACTGCCAGGACCAGGCACCTCTCTCCCGGCTGAGGTGGGGGGCGGGCACAGGGGCCCATGCGCCATGCAGAAGGGCAACCCTACATACAGCAGGGCCAGCCCCTCCGAGGGGGACATGCTGCGGAGGGGCTGGGTCCGCTGCTGGTGAGACCCCCACTATTGAGCCATTCCTTTATGATCTGTTGGACCTGTTCTGGATGCTCTTTTTTTTTTTTTTTTTTAAATCTCTAGCTTTATTGAGATAGAACTCACAAATAACATGGTATAAGTTTAAGGTGTGCAATGTGATGTGTATGTGTATATATATATACACATACATACATATTGTGAGATGTTTCCCATAATCAGGTTAGTTAACACATCCTTCACCCCACATAATCACCTTTCTGTCATTGTCCTGTCTCCTCTTTTATTATTTTATTTTATTTTTTGGGAGGGTGGGGCCAAGGGAGAGGGAGAGAGAGAATCTCAAGCAGGCTCCTTGCCCAGCACAGAGTCTGACGTGGGGCTTGATCTCATGACCCTGAGATCATGACCTGAGCTGAAACCAAGAGTCAGATGCTGAACCAACTGAGACACCCAGGTGCCCCCTTACCTCCTTCTTAAAAATGTTACAGGTCACCCCCTGGGAAAGCCCTGAACCCTTTGGTGTGGCTGTGGATCTGGGTCCTGGAGGTAGGGCAGCTGAGTGAGCAGGGAAGGGATACGCCTCTCTGCTGCTAAGCTGTCACCTGCAGAACTGATCCTGGGGACCCCTGAATTTGGGGCTGGCCTGGAACCCCCAGAGTCTGTGTGCCCATGACATCATAGCCACCTCCAGCCTGGCTGCACATTAGAACCACCTGGGAAGCCTTTAAAACACACCGATACCCAAGGCTCTGACACTGAGGTTTTTCAAGGGCTGTAGGAATTTACTATGTGGCAAGGGCTGCCTACTACTACCAGGTGGGCCAGTCCAACCTGTTGTCTTGCTTCTGGTGGACTTGCTCTAAACCTCTCCTGATCACAGTTAACAGCATTTGTGATCATTGCTAATAATTCATTCATAAGTTTACCATCTTCACTGTTTCTGGGATAAGACAAAGACTCCATCAATTAAATAATCTTCACCCATGCACAGGACTTTCCCATAGATGACAAACTTTCTTATCTATAATCTTTCTTTTGACCCTCAAAACAATCTGTAAAGGAGGTCTTGTTAAATCCATTTTGTAGATGAGAAAACTGAGGCCCACAGAGGGCCGGGACCTCGCCCAGACCTACAAGGGAGTCAGCACAGAACTGGGTTGGGTCCTGGGTCTCCCGCCTCTGGTCTGGCCAGTGCTTGGTCTAGATCCAAGGCCAGCAGGCCCTCCTGCTGCCTGGGGATTAGCACCAACTACTCTTGGACTCAGGTCCAAGCAGCCCTTCCCCGCTGCCCAGCAGCAGGTGCCCTCTCCCGGGGCTGGGTCCTTCATGGGTCCCAACCCCCTTCTTGGCATCTCAGTTCAGCTGACTGACATGCAAATTAGTTTAATTATTTCTTCTTCTAAAATAAATTATATTTTGCAGTAGCTGCAATATGTTGTGTCAGGCAAAATTGCATTCAATATTTTTAAACTAATTGATGCAGCCTTGAGGAAGGCTGATTGACAGCCCAGAGCTGAGCAGGCCCACAGCCTTAACCGGTTCCTAGATGAAAATTAAACGTGCTTCGGCCTGGGGCTCCTTCCCTGAGCTAACTCGCTAGGAATCCGGGAAGGTGTCAGGTGAAGCTCTGGGGGACCCCGGGGCCGAGGAGGTGGGCTGTTCAGTGGGAGCCTTGGGAAGAGACTGGACTGGGTGGGGTGTGCTGCTGTGCACCGTGGGCAGGTTGCCTTCCTTCTCTGGGCCTCGGAGTCCCTTATGCATAAAAGACATGGGATGGGACTAAGCCATCTGGAGCTGAGGCTTCTGGGTTTTGCTGACGACTATGAATTGAGCACCTTCTTTGTGCCAAGGACATAGCAGTGAGCAAGTCCTACGCGGTCTAGCGGCAGGGACGGGCAGTACTCGGGACTCCGATAAGAACTAAGATATAAAGGTTCAGGAACTGGGTGGGTGCAGGGATATTTTCCCTGGAGTGACCTTTAGACTGAGATCCAACTAGGAAGGAATCAGGTGATGCGGATGGGAGGGAGAGTGTGCCCCGGGGAACAGCATACGCAAACATCCCAGAAGAGAAGAGGAGAAGGTTGTCTATAGTGAGACTCTGGATCCCTTCCAGAAAAGACCCCAGCCCCCGGCAGGCACTCATCCGGTATCTGAACCAACCATGGACTTGGAGGGCTGGGGGCCACTGGGAAGGGAAGAGGAAGCAGAAGTCGACCTGGTGACTCTGTTAAGGGCACTCCTTCCCGGAAAGACATCAGCAAATACTTAGGGAGCCTGCGCTGTGGGCCAGGGTCTGTGCCGCCCATTTCATCCTGTTAACCATTGTGGGAGGTGGAGACTAGAATGATTGGCATTTTACTGAGGAGGAAACCCATTCAGAGAGGTAACAAATTTGCCCAAGGTCTCA